ACTACCAGCATGTCGATCGAGGAATCGGCGCTGTTTGCATTGTATTGTAGAGTAGTCAGCTCATTTGGCTGCCTGCTCTGATCGTACGAAGATTTTCCAGCCGGCTTCTTTTGTTCAGCGGATCGAGGAATGCCCGCTAAAGGGAGCCGACAGGCCCATACACTGGCCCAAATTTCGGCCGGTACAATAAAAAAACGTCCGACATTCCACCAGTGTATGGGCACCTTAAATTCAGAGGAACTGTGATTAGTTCTCCTAGATATTTAGAACCACCTACCTGCCAAATTCCTTAAACCGTGTGCAAATGTACCTAGGAGAATTCATGCTGTTTTCAAAGGTGTGTGTGTGTGTGTGTCACATAGACGCATGAGATGGGGATTCCTTTACACTCGGCCCATGCAGATTGGAGACCGTTCACAGCCAGCTGCTGGCAATAGGATTTGACAGCTCTGGACCCCAAAGTGCTTGGAGCTGTGCACCTTTGAGTTAATGCAAAGCAGACAATACTTTGTTCCATGTCACAATAAAATTGTTTAATGAAAGCTTTGTTTTCTCCATAGCATCCACTGGTCCAAGCAATATTTAATCGCAACCTAGAAGAAATACAATTGCTTTTGAGCCAGAAGGAAAATGTCAACATTTTGGTGAGATTTTCTTTTTCCGATCTTGTTGTCTGAAATTACATTAGTAAAAAATGGTGGAGGGAACACGCTGTTTTTACTATACCAGCTTTTTACTAGGTCCAGTCGGTTAAATCACCTCAGTGTTCTCTGAAATTCCATTGGCAACATTTCTCTACAGTATTTCTGTTAGGTTACAGCTAATGTGCCATTCAGAGTGGGAGTTGCATGCATACATACAGTTACATAGTAGGTGAGGTTGAATAAAGACACTGGTCCATCAGGTTCAACCTATATGGTGTTTGTGTGTGAGTTACAGCCAGATAAATATAAACCAATGTGTCATTTGAAAGTGAAAGCAGTTTTGCATGAAGTTGATGCAAAACACTTACTGGAGAAGCTTTATAGGGTAGTTTCCACTCTGTAACCTGCAGGCAGCATGCTAGCTCTAGTGTAGAGCAGCTGGGTCTCTTTATTAACCCCTTAATGACCAAGGCTTTTTTTTTTTTTTAGGTTTTTGCACCCATGTTTTATAATCCACATTTTAGGCCTGAAAATTACTTCAAACCCCCAAACATTTTATATATTTCTGAAAGCCAAGACCCTGTAGAATGAAATGGTGGCAGTTGCACTCTGGCTTGCATGACAATACCCAACATGTGTAGCGGGGTTATCGGTTTTGTACGTGGACTTACCCGACGCGTGTTTACATGAAGACGTGCATGCTCATTGGGGCAGGGGATTTGAAATTAAATATTCAGTTAATAATAATTTTTCTAAACTTATATATTTTTCTTTCATTTCTATCGCATAGGGGGGCTTACAATCCCCCCCATGTGATAGAATATTGGCAGTGAGAGGTCCTCTTTAAGGTGATACTGGGAGTACAAAAGACCCCTAGTGTCACCTTTCTACTTTAAGCTATTGAAGTGCAGGTCACACTTCAAAGGGTTATTGCTGGGCTTCAGGAGCCGAACTATGACAGCTATGGGACCGGAAGTGATGTAATCTGCATCGCTCCTGGTCCCATAGAACGGGGAGGAGGTCGACGAGTGGACGTTCACCACTCTCATCCCCAGCTTTCCGCCAAGATGCCGGTCCCGGGCACGCAGGAGGGGCAGCAGAGCCTGGGAAACACGGGGGGGCAGTTTACCGGCCTGCAGAAGTAATCTGGTGACAGCTGAGTCGCCTGAATAGCTTTTATCGTAAAGCCGACATCCCCCCCCCCCCCGGCTCTACAAATGTAAACAGGGTCCCGGCGGCTAGTCGCGAAGGGGTTAAAGCGACACTAAGCCTAGGTGTTAAATCATTAAAGTACCTTAACTATTAACAAAAATGTGTCTTCTTTGTATATCGCTTGGCTGTAGATCCTCAAGTTATCCTCAACTATGGGGTTAGGGCTTTCCCCATAGTTCTCCTAAGGGTAACGGGAGGACACAAACTAGCGTCCTCCCATCACCCTAAGCTCAGTATACCGCGAGCTACAGCTCGCGGTATACTGAGACGCTGAAGCGGATCCCAACAATTGTCTGGATCCGCCCAGCTGCGTGAGTGACAGCTGGCTCCGCCTATCTAGAGGCAGAGCCAGCTGTAGCCGCCCCCTCCCCCGTCCGTTCCGCCAGTCAGCGCTGGGGGATTGGAGGGGGGAATCCAGCCACTCCCCTGTCACGTTGTTGCCTTCTGAGACTACTTTTTAACCTAAACTAGAGGGAGAATTGAGTCTTAATTTTGTTTTTACATATTAATTTTGTTTTCCACTGTTTAACAGGACCAAGAGAGGCGCACTCCTCTGCATGCTGCTGCCTACTTAGGAGACATCCCGGTTATGGAACTAATAATACAGTCGGGTAAATCATCTTTTTATATGAGTTGTATTTGTTGTGATTTTGCAAACTACAGAATTCACTTTTACCCAAATGTATTTGGTTATATTAGGCAGGCTTAGTGCAAAACTAAAAACATGACATTTTTGCTTCTTTCTTAGGTGCTAATCTTAATGCAAAAGATTCAATTTGGCTTACACCCCTGCACCGGGCTGCGGCAGCACGAAATGAGGCAAGTCATACATGAGCATTTATTTTTGCAATACCAGGAAGTAGAGACTTTTGTATGTAAGCCTGTCATAAGCACAATATTGAGTACTGCTGACCTGCTGCTGAAGGTGTTAGTTCACTAGCTGTTTGAGTCACTAACGAGTATGTAGATCATAAGTTATAAAAATAAAACCCCCCTGATTAGCAATCGGGCAGATGACTAGTATTTTCAGGATGGCTCACCAATCCCCCCCCCCCGCCCCCCATTTTCTAAATGGGTTTTAGGGTCCTAACCAAAGCCCAGCTGTTCATATCTATTTGGAGGTAACGTTCTTCTGGTAGAGAATCACTATGAATACTGTAGCTCCTAGAGTTGAGTTTAATTCATATATACTGAGAACAGCCAGATTTATTTAGACTTCCTACCAAATCCACTAAATTCCACCTCTACCTTCACCCAAGACACAAAGTCTGAACAAGCAATGCCTAGTACAGGGGTATAGGTCTAGGCAAGAGAAGATTCTCATGGGTAAGGCATATACCAGATGTATTGTTGTGAATAGTTTTTTATGGCGAGTGTGAAGTCCTGGGTTCTTGTTTTATCATAGTGTGTTGCTCTTTGATCCCCTCCCCCCCCCAAAAAAAGTCTCTCATATCACATTATGCAAGGTCAGTTCATGAGGGATATGTCTAGCATTTAGTTTTAACCGGAAAGCAGTCAAACTTGTGAGGTTTTTTTTTTTTTTTCTTCCCACCGTTCATGCCGTTTGACTGTTGTCAGGGTCCCATGTTTTTATTTTAATTTTTTTGTTTCCCTTCCAGAGGGCTGTCTCTGTGCTTGTAAAGCATTCTGCTGATGTCAATGCCCGGGACAAGAACTGGCAAACGCCACTACATGCCGCTGCTGCAAACAGAGCAACTAAATGTGCAGAGACCTTAATGGGTCTGGTGAAAAATGTCAACATAGCAGATCGCACAGGACGTACTGTACTTCATCATGCTGTGCTTGGTGGCAGTGTAGAGGTGTGTATTTATGATGCGGGCTTGTCAGTGTAATGAATATATCCCAGTTATATTGTACAAGCAGTACAGAAAAATGACACTACTATGACATAATTTGTACCTTTTTACAGATAGTATTGATGTTGTTGAACAGAAGGGCACACCACAGCATATGTGACAAAAAGGAGAGACACCCCATCATGTATGCATCTTATCTGGGTAAGTGGAAATTCTTTTGTATCAGCAAATTCTCCAATGTTGCCATGTGTGACCAGGGGTGAGGACATTTAACAAAAAAAAAAAAAACTACTTGTCCGAACACTAAAGTGGGGGCCCCATTAACTTGTCACTCATGACAATCTACATAGTTGTGATTAAAAAAAAATCAAAAAAAAAATCTTAACACTGTATAACACGGTAGCGAGCGACATTCAGAATACATGGCGCAGCACTGGACAGCAGTATGGGGTACAGATACTACACCTGTACCGGCAGAGGAAAGGGGTCCAGATTTGGGCAAGTAATTCCATTCTCCCACATACCTTGGGAAATTGAACATGCCTGTTAATGCACATTGTGTGTGTGTTGGCGAGCACTGCTACCCGGCTACCACAATATGGCACATAGAGGATTGGGGGCAGCACTCACACACCATTCCCTACGCATGTGTTTATTCACATGCAGATGGTGGGGTTAGTTTTAATTATTTATTTATATTTTTCTTTTTT